CCAAGGGGTGCCCAGGGACCCCAAACTGTTAGGGGGTAGGAACATTTTAAAAGGGGTTCAGCCATACCCCTGGGCAAAGGCAAAGAAAGCATGAAAAAACTTCAATTCAGGTACATAGAGAGAGAAGAAAGTATATTCTTAATAAAACTCCAAAAATTACCTATCCCCTCATGGGTAAATCTGAGCCAAAGACTCAACCCAAAATGGGGTGAAAGAGGTCTGAAAACTTTTCACGGTCTAAGTCACCTTCTGGTGGGGACACACAAGAAAGGAGTTAGGCAGTGCCCAGTAGCTGGGACAGAAGGAGAGGCCTGAAATTCAAATTGTACCTTATAATCCACCATGAGGTCAAGGTAACAGCTGCCATCGTCTCTGCCAAGGCCCGGGGGCAGCCTCCTCATGTGTTTCTGATCCATGTTTCTCTCCAAAAGTCCCTACCTTCCTCCAGTTCTCCCTCTTTCATTCCACCTCCATTCATATACCCACCTCCCTCTTCCCTGCTGCCCCTCCTCAGCATGGCTGCTGGGAATTGTAGTCCAAAGCTGCTACATGTACGTGGGGGTGGGGAAAATGGCGCCCATTCACTGCCGCATGTTTCTCTACCTTTCCTGGTGCCTCAGCCCCTCCTGTCTCTACCAGCACCCGGGGCACCAAGGGCCTGAGCAGCAGGGGTGCTCACTTCTCTTCTGGACTGAACGTCCATGCTGTGACAGCTAAGCAAGACTGAAAGAGAACAGAGACAAGAGGGGTCTGGAAGAGCAGGAACCAGTTAGGCAAGAGCATGTGTAACTTTTTCGAAAAGAGGCGTGGGGCACCATCTGGCCCTCTGTTGCTGGTCCCATACGGCACAGAGGGTGGCATATAAACGGGCCTCAGTTTGTGCAGCTGTGCAAACAGCAGCTTCTCCCCAGGACTCCAGCTTCTGTGCACATGGCGGGCAATGACTAAAAATTGAAACCGCAGAGGAAGGTGGCCATGTTGATGTCTGTGACCTAATCTTGCCTCGGGAGGCAGATCCTCTCTGTGCCCAGGTGATTTTCCTTATTCTCAGCTACTAAGGACCAGCTGGATGATTCCTGCTGTCAATCTTTTTTTTTTCTTTTTTCTTTTTTAAAGATTTATTTATTTATTTATACAAGAACCGGGGTACACGCCAGATGTGTGGGGGGTAAGAGGATTCACCAGAGACAGAGCGGGGAACAGAACAGGCAGACTGACTGAAATACACTACTGAGGGGAGCAGTGGGCGAGACAGGAGAGGTCTGCCGCACCATGTGGGTATCTCCCAGCCGGCCAGGATCGAACCCGCGCTGCAGAGGCCATAGATAGCTTTATAGGGCTGCATTCAACTGCCTGGGCCACCAGGGAGGTCCTGCTGTCAATCTTGAATCAGGGATTGAAGCGAAGTATTTAAAGGAACAGCTGTGCCAAGCACTTCCAGTCTGGAGAATGTCCCAACCCCAAATTCTCAGATCAGGCCCTGAGCTGGGGAAGCCATATATCTCCGGACAACTCTAGTTTCCAGAGCAAATAATTCATTTCCTAATGGCAGAGACATGCCACCAGCCCTGTGCTATCCCAGGCTCCACGGCCTCCCCCAGATCACTTGGAAGGAATGATTGATTGTGTCTTACTTTCCTGCACCATTTTTCAGTAATGAATTTCGAAGCACCTATTAGCATCTAGACCCCGCTGCTTTCATATCTATTGATCTATCTATTTGTCTATCTATCTATCCATCCATCCATCCATCCATCCATCCATCCATCCATCTATCTATCCAGCCAGCCAGCCAGCCAGCCCATTTACTCATTAGCTACTGGTCTCCTTTATTTCTGCTCCTGTACCTTCTTTCTGATTTCAGCTTCTTTCTTCATAAACCATTGTATCATTGCCATCAAAGGTCTTCAGACTTATAACTTTAGAAATGCATAAAAATTGCAAGAAGAAAAAATTTCAAAAAATGTCTCAGCCAGTTTCTGGCATTCTGACTTCCCTGTTACCCTGATTAAAAGGATTTGACCAGTACAACATCTAGAACTGCAATCTACATTCTTAGGCTGGTGTGATTACTTCCTGAGTTAACGTCTCTGGACCAGTCTCTGAAATTTACCTTTCTTGATATTGTTAGAACATAAAATTCACAAATAACAGACTTTCTTGACACTGGCATAAGGTCCAGGTGCTGTAAGGGCTAAAGCAAAAAGAGGGTGGGGCAAAGTTATTAGCAAAAGAAATGATTATTCCAGGTAAAAACCATCTTCCCTCAGGGGCAACAGGGAGTCTTATGATGAAGATGACCTCACTGGTGCTGATTTGGAAACTCCAGATTGATTGTTTCAGGATTAGACTTTTGGGAGAAGTTAAATCTGCAGTAGGTATTAAATCTGGGAGGGGGCCTGGCATGAATCACTCCCTTTGGGGCCTCTTTTTTCCTTCTATTTTGAACACTATTAATAAAATCTCTGTGGGATTTGTACCTTGCCGGATCTAGTATGTACAGATCCAGCAAGGTACGCATTTGATAAATGGTTTGGTTATATGTTACACTGGTTTGAATAATTCACTGTCCATCTGCCTGGACTAGTCGCTGCAGACTGTCCTACTTTGGAGGACTGCTGTGCATACTAATGAGGATTGTACCTGAACTCACTGAGATGATGGTCTGGAAACTGAGAGCAAAGAAATGCTTTGTTGGTTCTATTTACCTGAAAAAAAAAAAAGAATAAGGTCACCTTCATTGAAATGTATAAATTGTCCTTGTGATTTATTAAGTACAGCAATTTCACCATGCTTTCTATTCACCATGCCGAATTTATGGTTATCCTTAAAAAAATGAACAGAATTACTACGTCATCCAGCAGTTACACTTCTGGTTATAGACACAAAAGATTTGAAAGCAGGGACTCAAGCGCATATTTGTACACCATGTTCATAGAAGCATTATTCACAATAGCTAAACGGAGGAAACAAGTCAATTGTCCATGAGAGATTTACAGAGAAACAAAATGTGGTCTAAATACACAATGGAGTATATTATTCATCCTGGAAGAGGTAGAAGAGTCCAGCACACACTACAACATGGATGAACCTTGAAGACATTATGCTGAATGAAATATGTCAGACATAGAAAAAGAAATATGGGCCTCCCCAGTGGCGCAGCAGATGAGCGCTGGGCTGCGAAGCTGCCCTCAGCCTCTGCAGTGCCGGTTCAATACCCGGCCACTGGGTAAGGGTCCCACATGGCACACAGACCTCTCCTGCCACGCCCGCTGCTCCCCTCAGCAGTGTATTTCCATCAATCTGCCTGTTCTGTTCCCCGCTTTGGCTCTGGTGAATTCGCTCACCCTCCTGCGCTTCTGACTGTACCCAGTGCTTGTATAAACAAACAAATAAATAAATAAATCTTAAAAAAAAAAAGGAAAAAAAGAAAAACAAATATTGTGGAATTCTACCTATATGAGATATTTCTAGATTAAAAATCCAGAGAGAGAGAGAGAGTAGAATGATGGTTGCCAGGGACTGGGAGGGGTGAAAGGGGAGTTGTAGGTGAATGAATTCAGAGTTTCAGATTTATAAGATGAAAAGAGTTTGGAGTTGGATGGAGTCGTGATGGAAGCACAGGATGAATGTACTCAAAGCTACTGACCTCTACACTTAAAATGGTTAAAGTGGTAAATGTTACAGACATTCTACCAAAATAAAAATTTATGGGCCTCCCCCGGTGGCGCAGCAGTTGAGCACTGGGCTGCGAAGCTGCCCATAGCCTCTGCAGCACTGGTTCGATCCCCGGCTGCTGGTGAGGGTCCCACATGTCTCGCAGACCTCTCCTGCTGCGCCCACTGCTCCCCTCAGCAGTGTATTTCATCAGTCTGTCTGCTCTGCTCCCCACTCTGGCTCTGGTGAATTCTCTCACCTTCGCGTGCTTCTGACTGTACCCAGTGCTTGTATAAATAAATAAATCTTAAAAAAATTACGGTTAATTTGGACTTATATATCAAAACAGCTCTACCTATAGTGCAGCAGTTTGCTCTGGAAAGGGAAGGCACAGATGTGAAGGCAGATTTTGGGTGATGCCTGCGTTACACTTATCTATAGATTTGTATTTGCACACAAGCCTGGGGCTTATTGGTGTTACCGTGAAAGAGCTGCTGTTATCATTTTGCCACTATTACAAACCAGTCCAATATGCTGCTGTTGAAACTCTCTTACCCCAATTGGTTTTCATAGTTTGGAAGAAGTTCAATTTTCAGGTGCCTGTAGGATGTATAGCAATATCAAAAGTAAAGAGGGAGTTTTGTGTTGACTTTGATAAAGTTACTTCTTCAAGAAGGTATCAACATGGAAAAGAAAATGAAAAGGAAAGATCTTTGGAAAATCTACAGTTTAGAGATTATTGCTAAAATAAACTTGAGGATTCAAAGTACTAAGCAGCTTTTTGGTCCAAAAGCATTTTTGAATCCATCTCAGCAATGTAATTAACCCAGCTAACATTCCTGGGGTGCTGAATAAAGGAACTTACCATATTGCTGACACCCAGACAGAGATAAAGGAGTGTGGAAAACCCTTCAATATGGCTACGCTGTGACTTCGTGGCATTCTGGAAATTCAATTTAGTATGATTTGAGAGCTTGGGAGACATTTTTTCAAGTTAACATATTCTCTTTTTTTTTTAAGGATTTATTTATTTATGCATACAAGAACTAGGGTACAGGCCAGAGGTGCGGTCGGTGAGAGGATTCACCAGAGACAGGGTAGAGAGCAGAACAGACATATTGGCTGAAATACACTGCTGAAGGGAGCAGTGGGTGAGACAGGAGAGGTCTGCTGCCCCATGTGGGTAGCTCCCTGGCCAGGGATTGAACTCGTGCTGCAGAGGCTGCAGATAGCTTCATAGTACTGTGCTTAACCCCTTGCACCACCAGGGACACCCAAGTTAATATATTCTTGATGAAAATGTTTACATTAAATGTAACTGAAACTTTTGTTCTGACTTCTAGGTTGCAGGAGATATAGGGGAGAGTGCTCCAAGTCAAGTGATACCTCGTATGACATCACCATCAAATCCAGAATGCTGACATTTCTTGAGGCAGTTGTCCTGGTCTCTTCACAACATCATGATCAAAAGAGACTGAGATGCTATGAACAAATGCAATACTTGTGTGATTTAGCGTGTGTGGAACCCACATTAAATCAAATAGACCACCACCTGAGACTGCATGTTGAGATGTCCGTGTGAATGGATGAGGCAGCTGACTCAGTCATTGGGGATTCTAACAGAAGCAGGGGACCCTCTGCTCCTCATCACAACAGACCCTGTACCACATCTGCCTGGTCATGAGCCAAAGAACCCCCTCCTAATACCTTTACTTTGGGAAGTTAGGAGTTAACATGCATCTTTTAGGAGGATACAGACATTCAGATCATAGCTGTAATTACATGAACTGATCTTGATAGTATCTTCATACAGATCCCTCACACAGGTGTGCTCTGCTCTTTGCTGATGCTATGTGGTCCTGCTGAGGTAGGAGCCAGTGGGCCTCGTATTGCCCCTACACAGGTTCTTGACTGCCTGGCACTGGGTTCCTCTCAATCCACATGCGTGATGTGGTTACATTCCTTGAAAACTTTGGACTGTGAAGTTTGTCAGAAATCTAGGCTATCTGGGAATTCCATCTATCAAACAAAGTGCTTCCTGCAAGTTTTCTCTCCTCTGCATGTTCTTGCTGGTGCTTTCTGTGAGGTCCTCACTTCTTGCTAATCATACTGCTAAACAGCCTCCTAGTGAGTCTGTCTGCCGTGACTGTCCCTTATCCTTGACCTGCCTAGTATTTGAAGGCTTGGTGGGACAGGTGCATGGGAGGTGGGATAGAAGTAGATCCAGTTCTCTCACCTAGAGGGAGCAACTGCTATGCAACTAAAGAGGCCAGTACACAGCAGCACACCCGTGTGAAGGTCTGCAGGGCCCTCAGCCTCTGCAAAGGCAGGGGCTACCCTCTTCAAAGATGGTTGCCCTAGTGGATGTCAGACTCCCACCCCTAAAACAGGGAAGAAAACTTTCTGCAGCCTTGCAAACAAAGACAGTCATCCTTGTCTTGGTGGAGACGCTACCCACATAGTCACGTCTACCCAGAAGTAGCGAGTCTGCACATGTTGGCTCTGGAAAGAGGTGTAGAGAGCTCCCTCGGGTCCTTTTTATAAGGGTACCAACCCCAGTCATGTTATTTTTTTTTTTTAAGATTTATTTATTTATTTATACAACACTGAGTACAGTCAGAAGCACAGGAGGGTGAGAGAATTCACCAGAGCCAGAGCAGGGAACAGAACAGGCAGACTGACGAAATACACTGCAGAGGGGAGCAGCGGGCAAGACAGGAGAGGTCTGTTGCGCCATGTGGAACCCTTGCCGGTGGCCAGGGATCAAAACGGTGCTGTAGAGGCTGCGGGCTTCTTTGTAGCCCAGCACTCAACTGCTGCGCCACCAGGGAAGGCCTCCCACTCATGTTCTAAAAACCTCCCAATACTACCCACCTCCTAGTACTACCACCTTTGGGGACCAGTTGTGTTCATCTCAGCCCAAATCTGCCTTCAGGGACCTCATATTGTGGCATGAAATTGGCCATCGTGGGGAGATTCACGCCATGAAAACTAGCAGATGTTACAAATCAGAACCCCATTGTTTCCCAGAGAACCAATTATTCACACATACCTTCCCATCGCCAGAGTTTACCGTGTCCTGAGTGTCATGGCCAGCTTTGTCCATCACTATGATGAGGGTGGAAAACCTGGAAATGTTGCACAAGGAAAGGGCACCATTAATAACTATCGCAGGGCCACAGATGGAGACCAGGACTCTTCTAGGCAAATGGGGATGAGAAGCACTTGAATGCTGAACTTTTTCCAGGTTTGTAATTATTATTCCAAAGCATACTCTCCTTTCAGCTGGGTAGCACCCCTTCAGCTGGAAATTTGGAATAATTTTCTATTATTGAACTGTTTACAATTTTTCCTAATGTAAATGATATTTCAACAGACATGTATTAGAATAAATTCCTAAGAGTGTAAGCCAGAGCAGAGTGTAAAAACATTATTAAAACTCTAAATACATTTTGCCAAATTGCTTGCCTACAAGTTTAATGTGCTGGAAAGACATTTATGCTCTCCCCGCAGTCAGCCCAAATCACCAAAGCCTTCCTGGTATTTGGAACCAGAACAGAGAGAACATTTCCACCGCCTCTCCTCCCTGCGCAGACACTGCTTTCCAATTAAGCTGAGTATATTCCAGGAACCTGACAAGCTCTGCTCTTTTTGGCCTTTATCTGTCGCTTTGCGTCTTTGTTCCCTTCACACGGATACTTTTCCTGTCTTTTGGTGAAATGCTGCAGGCACCTCACAAGCATCCTGACAGCCAGGATTGCACACAACAGGTCAAAAACAAAAACATGCAGGAAGGGCTTTAGTGAGGGCAACATAGGTGACCTTCACTTTGATGGGCCTGGCACAGGAAAGAAATACCTGGGGACAAGCGCTCCTGACTTGTAGCTGTGTTGCAGGCCAGGTAAGCCCTGAACATGCAGCAAACCCTTGAGTACTCTGCTCTTTTGCATAATGGCAGAGCTACACCCCTGAAGGGCGGGGACAGGCAGACCCTCCATCCACTGCAACACCCACCTACACACCGAGCACTGGTATGAACACCTGCACCTCTGCTCTCAGCTTTCCCTTAGCCCCAACCACAGGGTGCCAGAAACAACTCTACTCCCACAGAGTAGGGGGCTTTGGCAAATATGTGCACTGCACAGTGTGGCCACATGGGGCCCATTTAAGAAGGACCCGTGCTTGGTTAATGCTCTGCTGTTATCAGCTTCAAATTCTTAGTTACTATCTTTGGACCAGTATTTTGTGATGGAAGGCTGATGGGGCGCTGTGCAGGAACAGAGCAGATGTCTGGGGTGTGTGTGTGTGTTTCACCATTATTCATTGGGTCCACATGCCCATAGGGGTTTCCTGAGCATGGAATTTATGGACTAGGTTCCCAGGAACAACAGAGTGAGTACAAGGAAGTGTCACATCTACAAGTAAGGAGCATAGGCAGCCCCAAGAGGCACACTTCCCAAGCATGCAAGAACTTGGTTTTAAAAAATCAGAAAGAACATACTGGAACAATGTAGGAATCCTGTCACATCCTTCCTCATTCATAGTACATCACTGTATTAGGCAGTCGCTTATGATGAAAATGGAGAGAGAAAAAAAAAGAAAGCTAGGACCACCCACACCCATGCCTCCCATCCTTCCTTACCCAAGAAGTGGTGGTGTAATGGATGTCTATTAACAGAAGTGAAATAAAACCAGGTGAATTAGTTTAGTTTTCTAGTAAGAGACAGAGGTAGGCATTGTGAACTACAAAATAAGAATTGCATACTCTCGATGACTCTGCAGATAAGTTAAATGCTGATATTTGCATTTAAAACTGGCATCATGCAATATAAAGAGAAACATTAACATTTCTGCTGGTGTTTAAAAATGACTCCTTGTCCCTTAGTCGGTATACTTGGAGGTGTGTTCTCCATTGTAGGGAGTTTCCAGTGGGAATGAGCTCTACCTGTCTCTGGGGCAGCTTACACGATGACACCCACTCTCCCTGGCTGTCTTCGCTCCCCAGTCTGACTTCCTCACCCCCTCCTCCACCCTCCAAGTTGTCTTCCCTGGATCATGCTCCAAATCACTCCTTGTATTCAAATCCTTAAACCAGCGCCTCTCCCACAGAATCCATCCAAGACACCTCTCTCTGTATGGGGCACTGGTATTTTAGGGGCGGTTGGTAGGGACGTCTCCTTTGTGACTTTGCTCTAATCGAATAAATTATCATCAAGCAAATAGAGTTTGATGTGCATGTCATTAGCCCATTCTGGAGCTTACTGGGACTGAGCTGGGTCAGGAAATTCTAATTCTTTTGAAGGTTTGTTGATACGTTTTAGGTTGCTAGTCTTAGAAATATTGAATCAACAATCAAACTGGTTTTTTTTCCCTAATGCCAGACTATCTCAAAGTAAATACCTTTTCATTATTTCATTACCTTTTGGAATTGAATTTGTTTTGCAGATACCGGGGAAGAAGGGAGTTTTATTATGCTCATCAGGTCCATGAACTTCAAGGGGGTGTAGACAGTGTAATTGGAGCCTACTCAAATGTAGACCTGTCACATTGTGATATACACTGGCCACAGAAAGTGTCAATACTGAGAGTCTGGAATGAAATCTCATTAAAATGGGTTCCCTTTGTAAGCAAGGACAATGCCTCTGTGAAGCAAAACTACCAGTGACAATTAGCGACTTGCTTAGTAAAAATAAGAATGTGAAGGTTTATGTCTTGTCATAATTCTTTTCTGGTTTGTACAGCCTTCCCAACACAGTCACAGGATGTGGCATTATTGGGATGGGAGGAACTGGCAACTTGTGTCATTAACTCAGGGCCATCGTCGCATCAGCTCTGAGTCATGAAACAAGTCAGACCCAGGACTACCGTCCAGATGCAGCCTCGTATCTGGAGACTGGCACTGAACCTTCACATCCTAATTCTTACTAAGAGAGTTACCAATTATCACCGGTTCACAGAGGCATTGTCTTTGCTCCCTTGCAAAGGGAATCCATTTTAATGAGATTTCATTCCAGACTCTCAGTATTGATCTGGGAAATCCAGTCTGGTTCATTAATTTAAGTTCTTTATTCCCTTATTTGAGCCTCCTCTACAGAAAAGCATTATAAATATCAGGCCTTTGAGGTGGACATCATGGAGAATCCCATTTGGTAGGACGTTGCATGGTGTTTACAATGCAAAGTCATGTTTTTCTTTTCTTTTTTTCTTTTTTTTTGAAGATTTATTTATTTTATTTATACCAGCACTGGGTACAGTCAGAAGTGCGGGAGGGTGAGAGAATTCACCAGAGCCAGAGCAGGGAGCAGAACAGGCAGACTGACGAAATACACCGCTGAGGGGAGCGGCGGGCAGCAGGAGAGGTCTGTGCACAATGTGGGACCCTTGCCCAGCGGCCAGGGATTGAACTAGCGCTGCAGAAGCTGCGGGCAGCTTCACAACCCAGCGCTCAACCGCTGCACCACGGGGGTGGCCCAAAAAGTCATGTTTTTCTGACTCTGCCCTCACCTGGTCTCTCACAAGGGCTTCCTGGAAGTCTCCAGG